TTTACTGCTTGACAGAGAATTACATGAGTCTTGTAATATAATTTTCAAGCATCCTGTCATGTTTTAAAGCACTGCAGGCCAAAGGATGGGGTACACCCACAGCACACATCCCATGCATGAAAATAAAAATAATTCTGTAATGCAGACTTCATCTGTATAAAAAGTGATTATAACTGCTGAATATATGCATTAATGGAGACTTAAAATATTTATCATTATTAACAGGACTTACAAAGACTATTCTTTTACCAAATGTTTTAGTTTGTCTTTCGAAAGTATACTTGATGTTCTCTGACATGTAACTGAGCTTTCGAAAAGAGAAGTCTTCGGGTTTCATTTATTATTTGTATTTATCTCCAAGAGGGTGACTGTTGAAGTCACAGCAATCTACTTTTAGTGTATTTGGGCTAAGAAGGAAACGTTTGGCCAGGATTGTTATTGTTGATCACCATCTAGCAACCCCCACTGAAGTAGATGCCTTTCTGGCAATAGGGATGAGATCAGGATTAGATATGATGGTACCCAAAAAGTCCTGCCAACTTTGTCTAAGTTTATGTGTTAGGAACCACTAATTAGCAAACTATATAGGAGAACAAATGCTAATGGATTTCAGTCCAATAAAAGTGAGCACTTTCAGGAATGAAGGGGATATCATTGAATGTTTATGCATCTGGGTAGAGGGCATTGGCCATGGGGTCATACAGCATGGAAACAGACCCTTTGGTCTGGTTGTCTGCGCCAACCAGACATCCAATCTGACCTAGCCCCGTTTGCCAGCATTTGGCCCAAATCCCTCTGAAGTCTTCCTATTCATATACCCATCCAGCATTTTAAATATTATAACTGTATCTGCCTCCACCACTTCCTCTGACAGCTCGTTCCATGGAAGCACCACCCCCTGCATGAAAATGTTAACCTTCAGGTCCTTTTTAAATCTTACCCCTCTCACTTTAAATCTATGCCCTCTAGTTTTGGACTCCCTTACCCTTGGAGAAAGGTCTTAGCTATTCACCCTATCTACGCCCATCCTGATTTTACAAACCTGTCTAACCTCCGAAGCTCCAGGGTAAATGGCCCCAGCCTATTCAGCCGCTCCCTATAGCTCAAACCTTCCAGCCCTGGCAATATCCTTGTAAATCTTTTCTGCTCTCTCTGAAGTTCAACAACATCTTTCCTATAGAAGGGTGACTGGAATTGTATGGAGTATTCTAAAAGCGACCTCACAATGTCATGTACGACAGCAACATGACATCCCAATTTCTATACTCAATGTTCTGACCAATGAAGGATATCAAATCATGGAAATAATTGTTCCTACGTTTGGCTTGATTGCTGAGAACTTTAGGGTGAGGGGTGGTATCCAGAGGGTTCAGAGAAAAGAAAAGCTAGAATCTTATTCATGGTATTGACAGCTATCCAATGATTTCTGCCAAGACAGATACAAATAAGAATTGGCCTGAACTGATGTTTTCTTGGTCATAAAGCTTCCCAAGACACTTAAGTTAGGCTGAAGTGTAGAGTAAACAATTGACTGATATCATGGAAGTACATCCCAGCAAAATTCAAGTACCTCTGAGAGATGGGAAACGGATTGAGGAAGAGGGTTACGGAGTGGGACAAAAGTCTTACCAATACATCTCATATTTTAACATCAAATGTGGTCTCTTGTGATGCTGTCTTTAAGCAAATACCAGCTCACCTGACTTTTTCTTAACATTTTGCAGATCCCTGTGCAATGTGATTAATGCATACTGCCTTGCCTGTCGTGGCTGCTATGACAACTGCTTCTATGTTCTGTTCAGTAACAAGATCACCTTCTTAATGGAACTACTGATGCATCAATTGACGGTAGGAGACAGTAACTGCAGCTACCTGCCATTGATGTACTTTTATGTGTTCTTGTAAAGATGCTTAAAAACTGTTGTTTTCGTCCATGTAGCTGAGAGCCAGTGTGTTTTACGGAGGGTGTATCTTCTATTTTTGCTTTAACTCACCTTGGTTATTTCTGAAAAATCTCAAACATAAGAAATTGCTGGGCCCCTGGCTGAGATACTTGTATCATCAATAGCCACTGGTGAGGTCCCGGAAGACTGGAGGTTGGCTAACATAGTGCCACTATTTAAGAAAGATGGTAAGGAAAAGCCAGGGAACTATAGACCGGTCAGCCTGACAACGGTTGTGGGCAAGTTATTAGAGGGGATCCTGAGGGATTTACATGTATTTGGAAAGGCAAGCACTGATTAGGGGTGGTCAACATGGCTTTGTGCATGGGAAATGGTGTCTCGTGATCTTGAATGAGTTTTTCGAAGAAGTAGCAAAGAGGATTGATGAGGGCAGAGTGGTGGATGTGATCAATATGGACTTCAGTAAAGCGTTCGATGTTCCTCATTGTAAACTGGTTAGAAAGGTTAGATCACACAGAATAGAGCAAGACCTAACTACTCAGATACAGAACTGGATCAAGGGTAGAAGGTAGAGGGTGGTGGTGGAGGGTTGCTTTTCAGACTGGAGGCCTGTGACCAGCAGTTGCTGCAAGGATCGGTACTGTGCCCAATTTAAATGTGAAAGTAGGAGGTATAGTTAATAAGTTTGCAGATGACACCTAAATGGCAGTGTAGTGGACAGCAAAGAAGTTTACCTCAGAGATCAGATGGGCCAGTAGGCCAAGGAGTGGCAGATGGAATTTAGTTTGGAATAATGTGAAGTGCTGCATTTTGGAAAGGCAAATCAGGGCAGGATTTGGACACTTAATGGTAAGGTCCTGGGGAGTGCAGCTTCATAGTTCCTTGAAAGTGGAGTCATAGGTAGATAGGATAGTGAAGAAAGCATTTGGTATGCTTACCTTTATTGGTCAGTGCATTGAGTATAGGAATTGGGAGGTCATGTTGCGATTGTACAAGACAGTGGGGCCACTATTGGAATATTGCATGCAATTCTAGTCTCCCTGCTGTAGGGTGAAACTGGAAAGGGTTCAGAAAAGATTTACAAGGATGTTGCCAGGGTTGGCAGGTTTGAGATATTGGGAGACGCTGAATAGACTCGGGCTATTTTCCCTGAAGCATCGGAGGGTGAGGGGTGACCTTATAGCGGTTAATAAATTCATGTGGGGCATGGATAGGGTAAATAGACAAGGCCCTTTCCCCAGGGTGGGGTAGTCCAAAACTAGAGGGCATGGGCTTCAGGTGAGAGTGGAAAGATTTAAAAGGGACCAAAGGGGCAACTTTTTCACTTAGAGGGTGGTACGTGTATGGAATGAGCTGACACAGGATGTGGTGGGGGCTGGTATAATTACACTGTTTAAAAGGCATCTGGATGGGTATATGAATAAGAAGGGTTTAGAGGGATATGGGCCAAATGCTGGCACATGGGACTAGACTTATTTAGGATATCTTATTTAGGTTGGCGTGGTCAAGTTGGACTGAAGAGTCTGTTTCTGTACTGTACATCTCTATGACTGTATTCCAGGCGTTTGTATTTGAATTTTTGAAAAAAAAATTTGACCACCTTCGTCCCAGATAATGTTAAGCTTTTTGAGTTTTTTGCCAATCTCTGTATATGTTGTGTGTCTGAGCATAGAGAGCATGAGAACATCTTTTAATTATATAACACTTTTAACATTGTAAATTGTTTGGGGTTATGCCAAGGCATTAAATGGATCATAAGCAGCATGAGGAGAATGAGAACAGGTGACTGAGACATGGGAGTCGGTCTTGAGGCTTTTGAACATGAAGGTGTTTAGGGAGATGGTTTTGGAATATGATGCTAAAATGGCTGGAGGTTTTAAGACTCAAAAATATGGAGTTCATGAAATAGTGGGGGAAACTGAAGATAAAGGTGAAAGTTTTAAAATAATGATGCTACGAGACAAGGAGTTAATGTGGTTCAGCAAGTGCAGAGGTAATCATTTTTGCATTCAATATGAGTCATCTAGCTTTATAGATACTCAGCACCACATTAACTATTTCCCGATTATAGACAGCACAATTAGATGTAGGCTAAAGTTCTCTCCACTTTGATCCAAACAATGTAGACTCTGTTGAGGACCGCTGTTGCACCAATATGATCTTCTGTTTCCCATGTTCCCATTGGCTCTTTGACAGCAATTGCCAATTAAACGTTTTACTTGTGTCCCTTGCTGCCTACTCAGATTTTCAAAATTCATTCACATTTCCCATTGCTAGCTCACCCTTGTCATTCATACAGACTTTACACCATGGGGATAATTATAGTATAACCTGTCCAGCAGGAAAAGAATAGGCCCAGACAGGAGAAAGTAAAATTGTATGAAGTGTGAAACAAGTAGCTGATTCTACTCTCTCAGCTCCCTCCTAGGCAGGTTAGGTTCTAAATTTAGATTTCTTGTTCCATCAATTAATGGAAATATTCTGTCACTGCAGACCTTCTTTGAGGGAGTGTGGAGGTGAGGATCTGTTGCTAGACTATTAAACAAAAAAAATCGTACGATGTTCAATAAGCTGCTTGTTTTGTTTGCAAAGAAATCAAAATTATAGAAAGGAGCAGTTTGTGATCAAAATACTCAAATAATTATTGTTTAAAAATTATTGTTGAAAAATAAGTGTTATTTTATATCATTGGAGTCGAAAAATAATTTATCATGTGAAAAATAAAATTTGCACAATCCAATTACTAGCGTTCTGCATGTTAAGCTTCTCTCCATTAGAGTCACCACATCGGGCGTGATTTCATGTCATCTGATGAGGTTTTTTTAGCAGAACGTCTCTCTTTTCACACATTTGATACTGTTCTCTATGTTGCTGTCACAGATTTTGCCTCAATTTCCTTCGCTATTGCCCGTTTCCTCCTAGGGTGCAGTTCTAAAGGCATCATCAGCCCTCCGGAACTATATTCTTCGAGTGTGAGCCTGGATGTTAAATGATGGTAACCATTTTGAAGACTGAGGTTGCACAGCTGAAAGCAGTGTGTTACAGTATAGAGGTCAAAAATAAGAGACCAAGCTGCATTTTTTTTTTCCTTAGTCCAGGAATGTTGACCCCATTTAGTGACAGCTTACTGCTGACATGCTGAAAACACTTAGCATACCAATATTGTAGCTGTGATTTCCATGTCTCAATGGTTCATTGAGAAGGCCGTTAGAAGAGTTGACAGTCACATTTTAAGTTCTTGTTTACTTAAACTGTGTAAAATATCACAGCAGCATACCTGAACCAGCATTCCAAATTCAGGGATGATGTACCCAGATGGCAATGGGTCTAACTCGCAGAAAGGGTTACGTTTCCTAATGCAATAAAGTATGTGTTGCCCCATTTGTTTAATATCTTTGCGCAGGACAGTGGATTTTATACTGCTGTTAATTACAACGTACAGTTTATAATGATTGTCTCTGTCTCTGTGTGGAAGCAATGGTTTGTCACACCACATGTAACTTTTCATCTCTAACTGTGAAAGATTTTCTATTCCCCTTCCTCAGGGAATTAACATCTCTGTTGTAGTCTATGTAAGACCCTTTTGAGTATTTTCTATAGCAATATTTTAGAATGGAAATTTGTTCAACAAAAGCAAAGAAATCATGTTTATTCACTCGATTTTCTGCCTTATTTAACAAAGCTACTGCTTCTTGCAAAGAACCTGTTTCATGGGTGCTGGCCACATCTATCGTCCCACTCATGAAACAGTTACAAAAATGTTCAAAAAAGCTTAGTTTTCCTGAAAACAGTTAGCTGTCAGAAAACCCTGGCTGTCATCCCTTGCATGACCCAAGTTCTCTGTGGCACAATCGAGCACTTTAATTGCTCAAGTCAGCTCACTCTGCAGAGACTAGTAATTAAACCTGAGGTCTTTCTGGCTTTCATGGGAGAATGTGTCACATTTATATAGCACCTTTCCTGATCTTAAGATGTTCTGAAGCACTTTACAGTCAATGCATTGCTTTTTGATATCAGTCACTGTTATAATATAGGGCATTAAGCAAGTATTTTGTCACTGTTATAAGAAAAGGGCCATATGTTAACTTATCCAATGGGAGTTGAAGAAATGTATTCAATTCTGCATTTATAATTCTGTACCGTATCCCTGTAACCAGTTTGGGAAGTCAGATTTGAGAGTACTGTACCTATAAATGGTCTTCTGTGCTGAGATTGTACCTAAGAGCTGATCAGTAACAAAGCTAAACATGTTGAATGTAATTTAAAATGTATCTGAATTGAATTAGAGTCAAGAACTGGTGGTCTCAATCAGCAGAATTTCCCAATGGAACTGATGAGTAAGAACACTACCAAGTATATACAAAGACCAGATTGTAATACCAGTCTAAAGTGATTTAATTGCAATTGATTGGGCAGTTGCAAATGGTCTTGGACGACTGGAAATTAGCAAGAAGCCTGCTTTTATTTTGCCATGTTCCCTATCCTAGAAGGAGAGGGATTGGACAGAATGTGTTATATTTGAATAGTCTCCCTATGTGGGTTTGAGCTCACATTATGATAACAGACTATTAGCCAAGGCCCTTGGAGGCGGCTGCAACCTGTGGAATCATGCTACTAAAAGGTCAGTGGCTTAAGGGAAAGAGGAGAAGTAAAGCAATTGCATATAATTGGGATTAATTTTAGTTTGGCTGTCTTTTAATTGAATTTCATGAATAATTGTATCATTGGAGGAGAGGTGATGGAATTGACATTATAGACGAAAGAGCAAGAGTTGAATTCAGTTGGCCTGACAACCCTGCTACAAGTTGTATATATGAATGATGTGTGCAATCACTTTTCAAGAGAATCAAAACATATTTAGTCAAGAATGTTTAAATTAGAAAGAAACTTCACTTGAAAGCCTTCTGTGTAATTTCCAGGATTGAACTGTAGTTTAATTGAAAA